TTGCATCCCGTAGCCGCTGCTGCCGTCGTCTCCACCCCTCAGTTGGCGGCGACGGAAGTCCTCCTCCAGAATCTTCGTCCGCACCCACTCGAGCGTCCACAAGCTCTGGTTCTGCGGCAGGCTCAATCCGCTCGTAAATTGAAGCCACGATTCTGGCAGCAGCGAGAGCATCTTCAAGCACTTGGTCTGCTCCGGGTAGGTGATTCCCGCGGTCGCCAACTTCGCGTAGAGGTCGCGCATCTTGTCCAGGACTGGTTGCACCGGCTCTCCCTCGCTCAGGCGCAACGCGGACAGCTCCCTCTCCAGCATCAACGTTGCGACAACGGAGGTCGGGGCGTGCAGCTCCTTCAACACGGTCCACGCCTTCGGACCGCATTCAACCTCCGGCAGCAGGTGCATGACGTGGTGACGCTGGTTCAGCTCCAAACTCTGCGACATCAAATAGTAGCCAGCCGAGGAGCGCTCGTCCCAATCTTCCTGCAGCGTGGGGTCACTCGGTCTAGGCTCCTCCCCAATCATTAGTTTCAGCAAACCGATCTGACGGAAATATAATTGCATTTTCCAGGCCCAATCATCATAGCCCTCACCATTGAACTTCTCGACGGTGAAATTCTTCAGCACCTCCTTGACAAGCGAGCCCTGGTTTGTTCGCGCTCCCCTTGGCGCTGAAAGACCAGAATCTTGGCTGCCGCTACGATCTTGGGCTGAAGATTCACCAGCTCCCGCCGAGATGTTGCCCGCCATAGCTACCTATAACGAGGATCACTATAACGCAGCTCTGATACCAGCTTGTTGGTGTAAGGGCCTAATAAACTCAAGCTATTAGGACTTAATCAAACTTAAAACCTCTCCTCGGGGTCACCTCCAAGGGTCCCTGGGTGCCTGGCACAAGACCAGCCCCTATCCTCGGGTCCGAGTTTGTAGAGAGAGGGATCAAGAAGAACTTAGTCAAAACAGCAAGAGTACCTTGAACGTCGCGCAGCGTGCCGTGCAGACCGTCGGTCGGATTAAGCTGAGAATTCGCTATATCGAAGCTCGCTCCAAGAGCTTTAAAATGAGCCAAGTTGCCTCGCGAAAAGTTCTGCCATTACTAAGTTCTGGCTCGGACAGCGTTTGCCTAGCGTTGGAGTGCTAGCATACTAGCGTTGACTCGGGTAGCATTCCGCTGTCGAACCGCGTAGAAATGAAATTCCAGCGAGGAAGGAATTCGCTTGAATCAATTTGACTATATTCAGGTACAAACAGAGAAGGATTAAATAGTTCTAGCTAGCAAGGACCTTGGGAATCAACCTGGGAACAACCAGGGATGATCCCAAATAATTCCAAGCAACAGAACCAACCTGGCTGGACAAAATAGCAGGTGGTAGGTTGGTAAACAACCTCTGGTTCTGTTTTTCCAACCTGGGAAAACAACAACCAGGTTCAGGTTCTAAAAACAGAACCTGTTTTGTCTTTGCCCAACCAGCCAAATGCTGGTTCCGCTGGTTTCCCCTGGCCTTGTAGCATGCAGATACAGACAAACAACATCCAACCTTCACCTAAATTGTACCCCTATAGTGCCTTCCCTGCTACACTATAGTTAACCAAACAAAACAGTACAATTCCGAGTTGGATAGAACTGAATATGCGCAATCAACTCAACCGAACTGCAAAGCTTCCATCTAGGGTTCCTTTGCGAGCTCGTCCTTTCTGCTTGCACTGTTCATAGCGCATACAATGTTGTGCCAAAGCGCACATTGCGCGAGTACCTGCAAATGCATCAAGCGAAAAATGCGAAAGCAAACAAACACACGAACACACCATTCACACGCAAATGCATTCGCACACGCATACTCGTACAAACAGACGGCAGGATGTCGTGCAATGTGCATTTGCACCCAACAGAGGTGAGCGCAGGTGTCCACGACGGCGGGAGAGAACCCTAAGGCGGAGCGACGCAGGCGGAACGACACAGGCGGAACGACACAGGCGGAGACGATGCGACGCGACCAGGTGAGCGTGGGTGTGCGCGACGGCGGGAGAGAACCCCAAGGCGGAGCGACGCAGGTGGAACGACACAGGCGGAACGACACAGGTGGAATGACGCAGGCGGAAAGAATATGCGGAACGTTGGACTGCAATGCGCATTCTGTAACGAAGGTATGGGTGGAAATTAGTCAGTTTGAGAAATTTGGGAATCGCGAAAGGAATGAGCTGATGCGAAAGCAGAGTCGGAGACGAAATAGAAATGTCAGATCGAATTTCAGCAGTGAGTGGGTCCCCTCGCGGGTTACTCTACGGGAGTCCATCCGCGCCCAAACGCGTCCTGGTGGATTCGAATCCACCAGGTGCCCCTCCTGGTGGATTCCGTTTCCACCAGGACGCGGAGCCGGCGGAAGCTTTCTGCCCGCGGGCAAAAAAAATAAACCCCAACGCGACCAGCATGCCGTTCGGGAGCCTCAACCCTAAGAGTTTAGGGTTGATGCTCCCGAACCGCATGCCGGTCGCGTTGGGTTTTAGTTTTTTTTTTTTTTCCCGCGGGCAGATCGCTTCCGCGAGCACGCGGAAGCGATTCCGTGTTCGCCCGCGTTTCACTGTTTGGGCGCGTATGAACCTTTGAGATTGTGTTCCCGCGCAGCACTCACGATGTTGACACGAATCCGGCTACCATGGACCCCGAACGTGCCCCGAGTCGAGTTTGACCCTGCTTGCGTCAACGGCCCCCAGATCAAGAGGAGTGGGAAATACGCACCAATGCGCCGAGTTACAGATGTTCCAGGTTAGAGGCCCTCATTGAAAGAGTCCCTTTTTACCTTCTAGTCATGCTCTAAGCCAAAATTGGTTTTGTTTCGATTTGCCCGTTATTCATGCAACATTGATCAATGCGGGGAACCGCGCGACAAGAAGTTGAATCAAGCGCGGTCTGAATCCGCGAGAAAGACAAAAAAACATAAACTACTAGGAAACAAAACCGTTTTCCATTCAGTTTTCCTGAACGGGATTACAAGAATCACGTTTTGCCTGGGGTTTGAAGGTTTTTGCACATAGTACGCGCGCGGCGTTGTCATTCTGTCAGACTAAGAACAAGAACACGTGTACTTGCATTGCATGCATGCAGCAATGCATGTACATGCCAGTTGCGTCGGGTGCTCGCACTACTCGCTACAAAGGAAATGATTGCGCGACGCGACGACTCTCAAATTTTGCTCAAACCTGTCGACCAACCTCGCACTGCGCTTCCTATTTTTTAATATTTCTTAATCCTATGGAGTGCAACTTGCTCTACACCCGCAATCACGGTCTCGTCACTCTGCGTATATGTTATTCATCTATTTCGAATCCCTTTGATTTCTTGCTTTTGGGTGAGAACAAATCTAACGCTATCTAGATAAAATAATTGCAACTCCTTATTACGAGTTGTCATTTTGCGCAGTTGCATTAATGATACACAGTGACTGTGCTGACGTGACGCGTAGATACTTCAAGGTTGGAATAATTTAATAAAAATAAATAAAAAATTGTTGAGACAATTACAGTGTACATTAGGACCAACCGTAATGAGACAACTGGACTCTTGCATCAGACTAGACAACAATATGACTATAACTTTTCAATCTAGCAGAAAAAATGTATTTTTCAACCCACAAATTCACAGGCATGTTTAAAGAGGTTTTGTGTTTTACCTCAAGAAAGGCAATTTTGCAAAACTTTACAGGAAATATACCTATTACTTCTCTTTAATTCAATCTCATATGAGTGTCAAGTAGTATATTATTAAGTTTTGTTTTTTTTGTTCCCCAACTTTGTTGGAAAATTAAAGTTCAATATGTCACATTTTATTCATATAACGCCTAACATAACCATGTTACATAGAACAAACAAATAGCTTAACGGTTATTGGGTATTCAGGGTAAACCATGCCTGGCTAAAGAATGTGTTGTCCAACAAATCCGACACAAACTTTGTCGGGAGAGTTTATGCCATTATCACGAAAGCGCATGTAGAAGTCCATGGGACTTAGAAATATAAAAAATCGGGTAGCGCGTTGCGAGGGTAGTCGACAGGTTTGAGCAAGATTCGAGAATCGTCGCGTCGCGCGATTATTTTGCTATGAAGGCTATCACAGGCGAAATCGCGCGATCCGACGGGAATCGAAATTGTGTAACACGTCAGCACATTTTTGAATTCCCTAAACCTGATCGACCGACCTTTTTTCTACACTTGCAAACACGAAGGGGTCACTCTATCGCAGGGGTTGCTACTGCTTTAGGGATTCCCAATTCCTGTAGGTTGGTGTGTGGTTGTGTCTGTCGCGATATGCAAGCAGTCATTACGCATGTCTGTTGGTGCTAGCAACTTGTGCGTTGCTGGGCAAGTTGCTCACCTGATTAGGAAGGTGGCATTTTTCGCGCGCTTCACAGTGTTGTCTTTCCCGGACCAGCCATACAGTACAGATCTACCACGAATACCAAAGCAGTACTCCTTCGCGACTTTTACGACGGTGTAGCACCCGTGCATGAATCGTGCAGAGTGCTTTAGGTCTATCCTTAGAGACTATCTCAGACCGTTTTTTTTCACACAGACTCCTTGAAAATATCACGCGTTAGGGATTAGGGCCATGTGTTAGGGCCATGACGTCGAACCCCGGGCTGCAAGCCCTCCGTGCAATGCATTCTGTGGGCAATTTTGATCCCCGATTACAAACGCCCAATGACAATGCACCACTTGAGCTAGGCCACCTCTACTCATCACGTGATAAATGTTACGCGGCATTGCAGGAATATGCGCTCCACCACCGGTTTGGTTATCATGTACTTATGACGAAGCGGCGGGCGGTTGTAGTAGGCTCTAAAGCGGCTGTAGATGGAATGATTCCAGCATGCCTATGGTGCTGCTCATACGCATTGGATCGGGACACGAGATACTGGCGCATTACGTCCCTCGTCTTGCCCGAGGCTAATACATGTAAGACGGAGTGGCGGCAGGAATATGCAGCCGGGATTGCGAACAAGTTACCCGCGATGCTTCGAGCTTATGGCAACATGGTTCGCGCCGAACCCTTCGTCCCGCCAATCCAGCTGATGCGGCTCATGGAGGGATTAGGGGGTTGGGAAATCAACTACTGGCAGGCATGGCAACTGCGAGAATATATCATCAGGGAGAAATACAGGGATTGGAAGGAGTCTTTCCACCAGCTCCCAAAGCTTGTCGACCGCTTCCACGTCATTGATCCAGAGGTGAAAGTGCATCTTGACACCCTTGGTGGATGCTTCCATCGCTTCTTTGTCCAGCCATCTGCAGCCGCTCATGCACTACAATTCTGCCACCCAGTCATTGCTTTTAACGGGACTCATCTCATCAGTGTGCAGAAGGCAGAGCTGCTGGTCGCGGTCACGCTCGATGGCAGCCAGGAGGTCCTGCTGCTAGCTTGGGGTCTCGTGGAATCGGAGAACAGGGAGGCTTGGTCGTGGTTTCTCAAGCATTTCATCGATGGCTTCCCAAAGTGGACGCAGCGCGAGAATGCCTCTATGATCAGCGACAGGGACAAGGGGCTGGTTCCAGCAGCTCGCGAGGTGATGCCAAGCCACATCCCGCATTACTTCTGTGTGTGGCACCTTGATCAGAATTTGCGGCGCTTCAAGGAGAAGGCACAAGCATTTTTTAAACGGCTAGTGAAGTGTCGCTGCGAGAAAAAGTGGATTGCCCTCGTCGCAGCATGCAGACGCGACTTCCCAGACATGGCGCTTTACCTCTTTGTCCCTGAGGTCCCTCGCGCTGCGAGCGTTCCCCCTCCACCCGAGGCATGCCCCTCCCCTAACGCGCGCTCATCCTATGCTGGGGCGAGAGCATACGTGTTCGAGACTGGCCAGGATGGACGACGCATGGCCAGAAACGCGCGCCAAGGACATGCACATGGAGGGGCAAGTGGCGCCTCGCAGCCGCCAAGTGGCTTTGGCGTTCCTGGTGCCGGCACTGCAGGTTACAACAGGAATGGTGGCGGATCGCAGGGACTGGATGCATGAATGCTCCGAAAGCTCAGGTGTTCGGCAAAGCATTCAGAGGTGGGCCGGCCAGCAGGGGCGACGAGGTGGGCCAGGGGAGTACTGCGTCTGGACATGCTTCGGGCGGTGGTATCAGGAGTGGAGGAAGTGGTCGCGGTGTCCCCGGGGCTGGCGCGTTCCAGTTCGGTGGTGCTGGTTTTGGGGTGGGAAGCGGGACAGGCTTCGGAAGGTTTGGGCCGAGTGCCGGCAGAGGGTTTGGCATGGGGAGTGGTACGATGGGTGTGTCGCACCGGGCTGCGGGAACACACTTTGGGCACCTCAGTGGACATGGCGTTGGCGGGGGTATGAGCGCAGCGAATGCCGGGCCAGGGGGGCAGACTCTCGGGAATGGGGCTCGTGGGCAGGAGGATGGGGGAGACATTGGGGGAGGCTTAGGTGAAGACAATGGGATTGGAATGCAGGAATCCACCACTGGGTTTGGGGCGGTCGGCATGGGACGTGGGACTGCAGGAGGGATTGGAGGTGTGGGCGCAGGAGTGGGGTCAGGTGGAGGGGTTGGTGGTGTGGGTGTCCAGGTGGGGACTGGTGGAGGGGTTGGTGGTGTAGGCGTCCAGGTGGGGACTGGTGGAGGGGTTGGTGGTGTTGGCAGGGGAGTGGGGATTCGAGGAGGGGTTGGTGGTGTGGCCGTGGGAGTGGGGACTGGTGGAGGGGTGGGAGGTGTGGGCGTCCAGGTGGGGATTGGTGGAGGGTTGGGAGGTGTGGGAGTGCAGGAGGGGACAGGTGTAGGGGTTGGTGGTGTTGGCAGGGGAGTGGAGATTCGAGGAGGGGTTGGTGGTGTGGGCGTGGGAGTGGGGATTGGTGGAGAGTTGGGAGGTGTGGGAGTGCATGTGGGCACAAGTGTAGGGGTTGGTGTTGTTGGCAGGGGAGTGGGCATTGGAGGAGGGGTTGCTGGTGTGGGCAGGGGAGTGGGGATTGGAGGAGGGTTTGGTGGTGTGGGCGTCCAGGTGGGGACCGGTGGAGGGTTAGGAGGTGTGGGAGTGCAGGTGGGGACAGGTGTAGGGGTTGGTGGTGTTGGCAGGGGAGTGGGGATTGCAGGAGGGGTTGGTGGTGTGGGAGTGGGAGTGGGGACTGCTGGAGGGGTGGGAGGTGTGGGAGTGCAGGTGGGGACTGGTGGAGGGGTGGGAGGTGTGGGAGTGCAGGTGGGGACTCGTGGAGGGGTGGGAGGTGTGGGAGTGCAGGTGGGGACTGGTGGAGGGGTGGGAGGTGTGGGAGGCGGGTGGGGATTGGTGGAGGGGTGGGAGGTGTGGGAGTCCAGGTCGGGACTGGTGGAGGGGTGGGAGGTGTGGGAGTGCAGGTGGGGACTGGTGGAGGGGTGGGAGGTGTGGGAGTCCAGGTGGGGACTGGTGGAGGGGTGGGAGGTGTGGGAGTGCAGGTGGGGACTGGTGGAGGGGTGGGAGGTGTGGGAGTCCAGGTGGGGACTGGTGGAGGGGTTGGAGGTGTGGGAGTCCAGGTGGGGACTGGTGCAGGGGTTGGTGGAGTTGGCCCGGGAGTGGGGACTGGTGGTGTAGGTGTTGGTGGTGTTGGCGTGCAGGTGGGGACGGGTGGAGGGGTTGGTGGAGTCGGCAGGGGAGTGGGGATTGGAGGAGGGGTTGGTGATGTAGGCAGGGGAGTGGGGACTGGTGGAGGAATGGCTCCGGAGGCAGGAATGCCATGGTTAAATATGGGATGGGGGCCTGGAACAGGAAGAGGGGGTGGGTTTTGGTACGCGAATGTAGGCATGGATCCGGTGACTTACAATGGGGAGATCGTAAAGTAGCCAATAGCCGCGGATGGGGGAGATGGGGTCGGGTTGTCAGGTGAAATAGGCAGAGGAGTCCCCACAAGTGTGTCACCCGAGCCCACACGGTCTGGTGCCGCGTTCAACCTGGCGAACAACCAGCAGAGGGCGCGCCAGCCGTACAGTGCGGACACGATCAATACCGGAGTCAACGATGAGGCGCCGCGCAGGCGTCGCCGCGATTGGCGGTTGTCTGCATTTGATGAGGACGGAAGAGATGATTTGCATGCTGGTCTCACGCAGGTTTTGACACTTCCGTGGCCAGATACGGGGACTGGTGGAGATGCTCATGGTTTGGATGCTGATGAGCCAGGTTTCGAGGGCGAGGATGACCCAGAGCCGGATGGTGCAGACAGTGGTGATGGGAAGGAGGGAGGCATAAGCGTGCAGACGGGTTTCCATCGCAACAGGATGGGATCTAGGTACAAAATTGGGGGGATCCGATTGCTGCACTGGGCACGACTGTTTGCACAAACCCGTCGATACGAAATATACACAAGCAATGCCGCGGAGACCCTCAATGGTGCTGTGAAGAAGATCCGTATGCTGCCCCTGACCTGGCTGCTGTCGTCATTGTGGGACTGGTTTAGGGACAAGTGGGTGGAGCGTTATGAGGCAGCGTGGCGAAGGGACGAGCTCCTGACCGAGGCCGCAGTAACCAGGATGCAGATCAAGGGCATATGAGTACTGGTTTTTGGGTGGGACCAATGATGCCGGCACTATCGAGACTCATGGAGGGGAGAACGAGACAGAATGGAGAAGTTACAACGTCAACCTCAACACCCGTGCATGTGAGTGTGGTAATTGGCAAGAGTACCAGTTTCCGTGTGCGCACGCGGTTGCCATGTGCATTCTGAAGAGGAGGACTCACACGCTCCGCATGACATATGTACCCAGAGATCCTCGTGTCAAATTACTACACGACCCACACGCTCCGCATGACATGTGCACCAACGGTCTGGGGGACTTGCGTGGACCGTTTGATAAGCAAGGCCCCAGTGGCGCCAGAGGGAGTTTGTGACGCACCTGCTCTTGTAAACACCAGACTAGGCTGTCCTGAGAACAACATCCGTGTGGAGGCCGTAGCCCACGCGTACAGGTGCGGGAGGTGCCTTGAGCTTGGGCATAACCAAAGCCGGTGCAGGTGGAAGTTCGGTTGGTACGCCCAAGGGAATGGGCCTGGGCGTGGTGCTGGGCGTGGACGTGGGGGTGGAGTGGGGCGAGGTGCTGGGCCCGGTGCGGGCAATGGTGCAGGGGCTGGTGCTGGATTTGCTGCTGGGCTTGGAGCTGGGCTTGGAGCTGGCCCATAGGCTGGGGAGGGGCAGGGCTTGGAGCTGGCAACGGTGCTGGGGCTGGTGTCGGATTTGGCGGTGGTTTGGGGGTTGGGCTTGGAGCTGGCAATGTTGCTCGGGCTGGTGTCGGGTTTGGAGATGGTTTGGGGGCTGGGCTTGGAGCTGGTGCCAGGTTTAGCGGTGGCTTTGGGGCGGGGCTTGGTGGAGGCGGTGGCCCGGGGGCTGGTGTCAGGTTTGGCATGGAGCTACAGTTGGAATAGGTGCTAGCAGGGGTGCGGGTGCTGGTGCATGGAATGGCCCTTGGTCTAGCGTGGGGGTTGGTTTCGGGTTTGGAGGCAGCGGGGGTGTGGGTGGTGTTGCCTCAAATGTGTCTGGGTTTGCCGCTGGGCTTGGTGGTGGGTTTGCTGCGGGCCGAGGCAGTGGCCATGGTGCTGGGTTTGTTGATGGGCATGGTGAGGGTGTTGGTGCAGGGGTATGGAGGGGATCTGTGGCTGCAGCATGGCCTGGTGCTGCTAGTGGTGCTCATGACGGTTCGGGTCATGGCAATGGCTATGATGTGGGGGCAGGTGCTGGGTTTGGTGAGGGGCCAGGTGGTAGTCATGCTGGCAATGTTGCTGGCTGTGGTGCCGGACGTGGTGCGAGACGTAGTGCTGGACGTGGATCTGGGCGTGGAGATGGGCTCGGTGCTGGGCGTGGAGCTGGGCGCGGAGCTGGCCGTGGTGCAGGGCGCGGTGCTTGACGTGGTGCTGGACGTGGTGCTAGACGCGGTGCAGGACGTGGTGCTGGGCGCGGTGCTGGGCGTGGTGCTGGGCGGGGTGCTGGACGTGGTGCAGGCATTGGTGAGGGTATTGGTTTGGAGAACGTTGCTGTCAGCCATGATAACAATGGTGTCGGTATAGGTGGTGAGACTGGTCCAGGGATGGGTGCGCAGCGTGTTAATGCCACTGGTGGGGGGGGTGCTGGGGGTGGTGCTGGACTTGGCCCAGGGTATCATTTATTAAGCTTGAATCTGGGATTTGAGGTACATCTTATACAATCCGGGAGGTGATGTACATATTACACAAGCAGGGAGGTGATGTACATCCACATCAAAGATGTGATCACCATCCACTGTTACAAATATACACATGTTAACAAACTACGTTGTGATTTAGGGTCTTTTTAATCAGACTTCGAGGCATGTAAGGTTTGGTTGTATTGTTCCGGTAGTTGACAAGTGTAAAGTAGGGTAAGTTGGGTCACCGTGTCACGATATTAAATAGTTTTATATGGTTGTTGTTCATCGCCTCTTGGATCACCTCCTTACACTTGGCACATGTTTGGGTGGTAATGACTGTCAATTAACCTAATAGAGTGTGTGAATATCGCTCGTGTGTGATCATTGCATACATGCGAATACTGGCTTATTATTGATAACCCTAGATTTTGGCAGGGGACCTATGAAGCCACGCACCAAAAGGTAGGTACGTTCATTTTTTAGAGATCAATCGGGCCGCCGGGGCGGCTAGCGCTGCGGTTGCTGTTTTCTGACTTAGTTACAGCAGGATAGCACAGAATTTACCTTACACACTATAGTTCCCATTGAGACAACCAACTATCCATTAATCTTATGTCTAATGTCTTTGTATTTGATAGAATGTTTGTTGATATGTGTAGTAGCACAGACATGTTCAGTCTAGTTTCAGGTTGCAATATCGCACTGCACCACTTTCACCAGTGATGTTGATGCCATCACCTTGTGATATGAATCTCGTGAACACGCTAGACTGATGATGTTGGTGAGATCTCGGCTTTGCCCGTTCACGAACCAACGCGATCGCGTGAAGGGTCTATTCCGTATCTTGCGTTCAGTCAATCGCGATCACGAAAACACACAAATATTTGTGTATACAAAGGACACTTTCCAAACAGGTTGTAAAGGCTATTTTTACATCGAGAATTGCAGTTTGGTTTTCCATGAATGTTTCCAGACCAGATCACAAAAGCAGGATGGCTCGCGCACAGAACAAAAGAACAATCAAAACACACGAGAACGCAAACACCTCTACACATCGGTAGTACATCAGAGCAAAGTCACGCATTATTTTCACGAGTGCCTTCACCGTCAGTTGTCGCCGGCAGTCCTGCAATGAATGTGTGGAAATTCAGTTAGTTTCTTGGATAAGGCGATTAGTGCATTGTGGAATAAAGCAACGCTATCTTACCGACGGTTGCTGTGGCGCCGGCTGCATTGCCACCCTAAGCGGAGACCATGTGGTCCCGTCCAGGCAAGTCAACTTCTGCGGCGGCGATCACATCCGCGGCCGTTGGAGCCATTGCAGGTGCACTCTCAGCTGCTGCAGGGGGGGCAATAACGATTCCCCTCTCCTCAGTCTTTTGGCACCATCGCATCCAGCTGCCCCATGCCCGGACCCGGGAGAGGGCAATGACGTGCTGTGTAGTGAAGCCTATCAGGAGCTCTTGCTCTTCAAGCGAAAGTGGGAGCACCCTACCGCGGACTGGTTTGTCACGACGGACCACATGTGCTGCTGCCGCAAAAGCCTTTGCGGCGACGATCTGGTCATCGAAAGACCCGAGCCCAATGGTGGTAGGAGCTTTAGGATCGGTTACCAGACGAGCCACCCATAGCCCATCGCGCTGCAAATGAACGCCGGCAAACCCAGCCCGTGACCCTTCAAGTCCCTGACTTTCGCCCTGTGTCTCATGCGACCTTCCATGCCCTGCCATCGCTGCGGAATGAACCTCGGACACGGCGCCCGCGAGGACAAACAGGTTGGGCCGCAATGCCTGCCCGGGTTGTGCAACACCATTCCGTGATTGCTCGACTGGTTGGGTGTTCACTAGCAGGTTCCTCACAACGGCCGACGCAATGCGCAGTGCCTCTGCATCTCCGCCCTGGTCGGGGGTAGCCCGCTGACTAGTGGCTACGAAACAGGCGCCGCCTGCAGGAGAGGCGGAGGTTGGGGTTCTCCCCGCCGGACTGACGAGCGCGCGTAGTCGCCCAATCTCTGCCCACACCGCCATCAGTTCCCAGGCATCCACCTTGCCCTCCACGCGCTCCATCTCCTCTTCAGCGCACCTCAGTTGGCATTGCGTGTTGTCGATATCCGCCACTGCATCACGAAGCATCTTGTCCAGCTCGACAAACTCTGGCGGTAATGTTGTGTTTGACTTGTTTCTGAGAGGCGGATTTTGATCCGGAATGACACACCGCTCCGCGATCAGGGCCCGAATTAGAAGATTGTTACCCATGAGGACCACGTCTGCGCGCAGGTTCCGCCGGAGCTGCCAGGCACCGTAGGTGAGAGGCGCTTGCAAGCCCTCTTCGAGATTGCTGAAGTCGTGGGCGACAAGCTCCTTCACGTAGATGTAGACAAACACCCCGCAGTCAGAATCATTATCCTGGCGAGGGCAGCCGTAGGTCTGCATAAAACAAGTCAGACATGAGTGGGTAACTATACTCAGTTCCACAGCCCGTAGAGGTATTGACCTGTACACGCACTGGAGCTAACACAGTGCGCAGACGTGGGAGTCTGTCTTCCACTTCCTCTGTTGAAAGAGATGGTTGTGCGGCTTGCAGGGCGAGTCCCACAAATGGTGTAATGCAGCAGAAAAGGAACGATGTCATGGAGGGTATGCACAAGGACGTATCTCCAGTTCAGGGCGAACGAAACGTACATCTGAATCTCGACGAAAAAAGCGTCGGCAATTCTGCGATTATCGCTGGAAGAATCGAACATAACTGCAACGGTCCTCTGTGAGGGCCCCTCTGGAGGCTCGGGCGCTTTCAGGAGAGAAGGGAGAACATAGTTGAAATCCAGGAGCTTCGAGTTATCTGAGCAACACACGAGGCCACGACGCCCGACGCTCGTGGGGTAGGCGCATGTATCTAGCGCAATCCATGTGCGGCCTCCAGCGAGGGTTGGCTTCCGGATGTGTGTTAGACTGCACAAGTAACATAGATGAGATTAGTATTAAAACAATCAGTGGTCTCATGCGTTCACAAACGATGATAGATGTGGCTATGAAGGGGAAAAGTGGAAAATCCGATACAGTACAGCTCACACATTGTGGAAATTGATAAGCGGGGTGCTGAACTTGCAGCCGTCTTGCAGGCGGGCCGTGTCCACCAGTCCGACCGTAGCGCCTTGACCAAGGCTGTTGTAGAGCGTCTTGGTCGGAAACTGTCAGGATATGCGAACCAAGATGCAGTCAAGAGTTGCGACGTTCGCGATGTGCATGAAACTGCCATGCGCTTCACGACCTTGCAGGTGTGGCCTGTGTGGGAATCACCTGGCCTGGCAAAAAAAATTATGAACGTTCATGTCGCACGCAACCAGAGTAACCCGGGCCTGACGTGCAGTAGCGGTCAGCTGTCAGTCCGAGATGGTGCCAAAACACAAACTCCATCTGAAAGTGATGGCGCCAAACGAAACCTGTGTGCCGCCACAGGTGTGCACGCCGTCGTCTGTAAGTGTATTAGGAAAAGGCGACAAGCAGCAATTGAGGTGGCACCTGACTGCTGGAAGGACCAAATTACAAGATCGGCCTTGTACCTACATGACACCGGTGTCTGTACTGTGCAACCGTACACCACGACAAAACCACATCATGCTGGACGTTACACAGCACTAACCTACAGATTCCCGAGAGAGTTACGTACCTGTAGTTACACAAACCGAACCATCCAAGAACCTTTAAACCATACCGCGTAAACTACTGGTGGGTCAATCAGATTGAGGGAATTCAAAAATGTGCTGACATGTTGCATGACTGGTCGACAGGATTGACCCAATTTTAATTCCCGTCGGGTCGCGCAATTTTGCCGATGTCATAGCAACAGCTGCCTTGTGAATCGTTAGTTAGAATTCTCACAAGCAGCCACCATCCTGGATTCTTGCGGGTTTTCGCTTCCATCGGGAAATCGGGGGGGTCCCGCAATTGGGTAGGAAACCACTTGCTGGCAAATGGTTTTTGACTCCGGCCAATTGCCTGGTTTCCGCAATTGGTTTGCTAGGCTAGTAGCATCTAGCCTGCGATTTGTTTTCGGTTGGGCGTACGGGTGACTGCCGAGCCTGCACAAATGCTCTGGAAACATTGCGCGAAACAGTTTCAGACAACTGGTTGTTGTTTATTGGGTGGAATGTCTTGCTCGATTCGATGGCACGTCAGCAATCTATTCTCGATAAACGACTCACAAATTAAGTATTAGTGACCACAGTGAACTGAACGAATCTCGATTATTTGGCATCAAGTTACCTATAAGTGTTCTTTAAACGGAAATGACCCTACACATTTAGTATTGATAAACAGTAAAGTTGCGTATATTAGTCTGCAATACATATTATGGATATGAGTTACGTTTTTGCCAGCATTACAATATTACTATACATATTAATGGCGGTGCCTATATTCCAAAAATTAATGGAGGATAGTCTGATTACAGAAACATTCATTAAGCCTATAGCTTAATTTTATTGATAAAACATCAAGAAAAAGAAAGAAAAAAACTAAAAACTATTTAAAAAAACATAAAGGAAAAAAACAGAGAAAAAAAACTACATTAAAAAAAAACACAACATCTAAAACAGCTCCTTATGCACCTCGTTCTCGTCATGCACCTTTCGATAAGAGGCCCTAGAAGTGAGGTCTTCTCCGGTCAAATCACCGAGCTGATCTGCTGCCAGCTCAGATTCGGAAATTTCTTTCCATCCAACAATGTAGATGCTGCCAATGCCGACACGCTGCACCTCCCGTGTCATCCTAGAGAAAGCTGTCGGGTCCTCGGATCGCTTGAACTGTGCCTTGCCATGTGGACACCGAATCTTGAAGCGGACCTAAAACAATTGCATCAACAACTTAGAACAAAGGTAACAACAAAAAAAATGAAAAAAAAAAACAAAAAAAAAACACATAGAAAATTACCGCTGCGAGGATCACAGACAGCTAATCGGGAAACAAGGCAATACGAAGGTTGCCGTCAAAATCCGGTGCCCACAAGGACGCGCACTTAATAAACGCTGGGCTAGAAAAGGGTTCATCCTCCCACATATGCTAATAAATCCCCATAAACTCTGCCACTCGAAGTGAGCATCGGTTAATATACAGGCACAACGAAATACAAAGTATTACGAAACAGCACTTACGAGACGAATTGTGCTTCAAGTAGTCCGTGCGCAGCTTCGTGAAATCGTCGAGCTCGGCAAATGTAAGCTCGCCCTTAAGGGTGCGCTTCTCTCGCATGAAGATGCACGGCTGCCTGCTCAGCGTGTAGACGCGGCAGAAATGGTAGATTTTCCCGATGCGATCATGAAAGCGTTCGCAAGCATCTTTCAGCTTTCCTTGGGAATTGGCAATCGCAGCCACTTGAATCCCTTCAGGTGAGTCGGGAGTGTAGCCTGCGTGCCCTGCATTAGACGTAACATAGGTGAGCATATCAGTATATCAAACAAGACAAAGGAAGCAATACTTATCAATGAATTAAGCATGTCATCAGCAGTGGGATTGAGGCTGAGCATCTCCTTCTTGGAAAGGAACTCGTCACAAGAGTCCTTGATATACTTCTGCAAAACATACACGTCATAAGAGTCAACGGAGCTTGAACAGTAACAGGGTATTTGCAAGGGAAAAAAAAATACCTTCCAGTCGAGTGTCGACTGGTCCACTTTCGAGGCCTTCTTCGCAAGGTGCCTGACAAGCATCAGAGCGCTTTTTAGGTCTTCCGCGAGACGTCTATTCTCCATGCGATACATGCCGCCAATGACCTTAAGAGTTTCCGCCTTAGTTCGGAGCTTCTCATTCACGCCAGGTTCGGTGCGCGCTTCCTCGTCAAAACGAGCGGCTTCAATTTCATACACACGCCCTGTTGCCCGAGTCATAAGCAGATCCATCGGGCTGAGGTTGCCGTTTCCTGTTGAGGGAGAAACAAGAGCACGACTCGTTACATGCGACAAAATCTCCCGCAATTGAACTAAGCATGCAAACCGGGTCTGTGTGTGTGTGGTTTTGCAGGTTGCTGCGGGTTGCTGAAAAGTTCATAATAGAAACAGTGGGTCGGAAATGACATACCTCTCTCAGCAGCAACTGCCCCGGCGGGGACAACGACATTGGGATCCACATCAGCATGGGGGGGACCATCATCAGCTGCAGCATAAGGGGGAGATCCGGCAGCAGCAGCAGCAGCAGCAGCAGCAGAGGAACCACTGGCAAAAGCAGCAACAGAGGAACCACAGGCAACAGCAGCAGCAGAGGAACCACCGGCAAATGCAGCAGCAGCAGCAGCAGCAGCAGCAGCAGCATTAGCAGCAGCAGCAGAGGAACCACCGGCAAATGCAGCAGCAGCAGCAGCAGAGGAACCACCGGCAGCAAAAGCAGCAGCAAGAAAACCACCGCCAGAGCCGACTTGAACGACGATTGTTTGACGTTCGTCATCAGCAGTAGCGTTGAGTGGCAAAGACTTCACTCCTACTGCCGGTGCAGGCATGGTAGTCCCAGCGGCGGGGTCCTTGTTGACGTCATCAAGGCTCCGCCTCGCTTGCTTAGCACGTTGGCCGGTTGATGGCGAGCCGGAGATGGCACGTTGGTAGCTTCGCCGTGGCTTCCTTCTGCCACACACACAAGAATGTGGGTTATATGTGAACGAGAAATTGTGTGAAGAAAAAGTACATGAGGACGAACCAAAACCATCATGAAATTACCTGCGAAAGAAGAGTTACCAATGTACTTGTGTTTATCCTTGCTTTTCTAAGCAGGAAGTTGTCTCGTCTGCAACGAATGCAAAGATTCGAGGACAAGGTCTTGCGCATTACCGCGTGCCATGTCTCAAGAGAGATGAAAAAAAAGTACGGTAGGTGTATAGCCAACTAGCTGCCAACCTAGCTATATATATGAAGTCGGCCATGTGACTAAAAAGCGGCATGAACAAGTGAACGAAGGACTTACTAATGAAAGAGGAAAACGAAACGCACCGTGATTGGCTGGCCCCGGGTGCTCTACCAAACCTGAGACCACCGTTGTTTTGCACGGAGGCTCGGCATGGATCTCGCGGTGAGTGAATGGGATTAGACGGATCGAGCAAAGTAAAATTGGAGTTTGAAATTTGGAATTTTGAATTTCTAAACTGAGACACGCAGACAGAGCAGGTACCACTTTCGCCTGCCAACGCTGAAGGGAAGCGGGCGAGAGAAGGGGATGGGGTGTGGTTTCGGAGAGGATAAGATGCTGTTCGTGGGACGAAGTGCGGTGTCAACCCCAGACGCGTTGGCGTTCACGTTCATAAACAGCAGTATACCTCAGGTGAGCTGACGGTCATTCAGCACCATTCAGTCGTAAGTTTTTGACTTAAGTTCACGCGTGACTACTACAGTGGAAAGAAAGCATGGAGACCTCCGCCACACATCCCACAATTGCATAGTTGGACAAGTTTGATGCGGTTACGTTTTCCTGAGGTGGCACGCAATGTGTTGCCACACAAAAGACGAGGGAGTTTTATTGGCTGAGAGACGTACCGCTGGAACCGGGTGTGAGGCAGGTGAAGGACGTTGCGGCAAAGCGCAGCCACTCAAAGAGCAGCTTTGCTGGCCAAGCATGATTCAAGTGCACAATACAGCCGACAAAAGCCTTTGTATA